AAGAAGGAGAAAGTCCCTATAGCCCCAAATGTCATAGTGCATCCTCCGTATGTTCAAGTGCAACTCAGTGACAACATGGAAAAATCTCAAAAGCGGTGCACTGAGTGAAAGAACTGGGACAAAAAAGGGTGACATTGTGTGACTCCATGTATACATTTTAGAAAATGAAAACCCATAGTAATGAGAGGAAGCACATCAGTTGCTGTCTGAGGGGGGAATGAGGGGAGGGGATGAGACGAAGGGATTCCCAAGGGGCCTGAGGAGACTTTGCCATGGTGGATATGTTCACTCTCTAGATTGTGATGATGTTTTCAAAGGGGTATAAATATGTCAAAAGTATCAAATTATGCATTTCAAATATGGGCAGTTTATTGTATGTCAAGTGTATATTAATTAGAAGAGTTATAAATAAAAAAGACGTTAGCTTGATTTCTGGTTTCCAGTCCAGCGTGTAAGAAGCTTGGGAATCACCATTCCATCCCCTAAAACGACTAAAAAGCTGAACAAACTGAAAAGGCTACAGCTCTTCTTACATCCACAAGAGAAGTGAGGTCATATGGCAAATTGCTGCCCTTAAAGTGGGGAGACTGACGGGTGAATACAGAGAATCACAACTTATAGGAGCAGAAACCCATGAGCTGAGACTTCCAAGGGAGCCAGTGCTGGAGTAGAGAAACCTGACCTGTAATCGACAATCTGCTGGAGGCCCAGTGTGGACAAGTGTGGATCCTCGGAGAGTTAAAACTCCAGGAGAACCCAGTCATAGGGGGGCCCACATTTTTGTGAGTTTTACCTTCAGGAGCTGAACCTGGTACTTATAGTGAATGTCTGAGAAAAAAAATATATTATGCTTCTGGCAGGAGAAGGGGGAAGTGAACAATTTTGAATTACACTGGAGCATTCAGTTCTTAAAATGTCTGCCCTAAGGAGAAACTATTTTACCAGAACCAAACCTGCCGAGGTTTTATCACAGACTAACCTGTGGATACCTCAGGCCATTTTAGCCATTGCATCTGCCTAAGTGGGGGGACTGAGAAGCACATGTGAAGTTCACAGTCCAGAGACACAGGCTCACTAACTACTGAGACCTAATCATAGAATTATAGAACCCTCCCCATCCCCTAACTCCACACCACCACTTTACCAAAGGCTTGTTCATAGAAGTGCTTTTGACCCAGTACATCATGGCTTGTCATCCAGACAAAAAAAATTATAAAATATGCTCAAAGGTAAAAAACAAGTTATAGAGACAGAAAAAAAACAACAGAATCAGACTCAGATATGGCAAGGATATAGGAATATCAGGCCAGGAATTTAAAACCTCTATGATTAATACATTAAGGATTCTAATAGATAAAATACACAGCATGCAAGAACAGATGGGCAATTTTATCAAAGAAATGTAAATTCTAGGAAAGAATAAAAAAGAGATGCTAGAAATCAAAAACACTATAATGGATAAAAATAATATCTTTGATGGACTTATTAGTAGACAGAACATGGCTGGTGAAAGAATCTCTGAGCTTGAAGATACCTCAGTAAAAACCTCCAAAACTAAAAAGTAAATAGACAATGACTGGAAAAAAATACAGAGAAAGATTTCCAAGAATTGTGAGATGATTACGAAAGGTATAACATATAATTAAGGAGAAAACCAGAAAGAGAAGACAGGGAGAAAGGAACGGAAGAAATACTTGAAACAAAACTAAGAATTCCCCCCAAATTACTATCAGACACCAAACCACAGGTATAGAAAGCTCACAGAACACCAAGCAGGATAAATGCCAAAAAAAAAAAAGTGCACTGAAGCATATCATTCTCACAATACAGAAAATCATAGGTGAGAAAAATATCCTGAAAGAAGCCAGAGTTGAAAAAAAAACAAAACAAAAACACGTTACTTATAGAGGAGCAAGTGTAAGAATCACATCTAACTTCTCCTCAGAAACCATGCCAGCAAGAGTAGCAGAGTGAAATATTTAAAGTATTGAGAGAATAAAAACCACCAAACTAGAATTCTGTACCCTACAAAATTTTCCTTTGAAAGTGAAGGAGAAATAAATACTTTCTCTGACAAACAAAAATTGAAGGAATCTGTTGCCAGTAGATTACTTTGCAAGAAATGTTAAGAGTTCTTTAGGGAGAAGAAAAATGATACAAGTCAGAAAATCAGAACTACATTAAAAAAAATACAAAGAAAGACTTCATAGAGGAATAAGTGAAGGTAAAATAAAAACATTTATCTTATTCTTAATTGATATAACAGATAACAGGTTAAAACAATTATAGCAACAATATAATTGATTATATACACTTACATATAAGCAAAATGAATGACGACAATGATATAAGCGACAGAGAAGAGTCATTAGGATTTAGTTAGTTATTTTACTGAGGTCACATCAGTTTATAATATGGTATAAATTTCAGGTGTACATCATTACATTTCAGATTCTGTATAGACTGCATCTTGCTCAACACCAAAGTATAGTTTCCATCCATCACCATACATATTTGCCCTTACCCTTTTGCCCTCCCCCCACCCACTTCCCCTCTTGTAACCACCAATCCATTCCCCTTATCTGTGTGTTTGTTTATCTTCCACGTATGAGTGAAATCATGCAGTATTTGTCTTTCTGTGTCAGTATTTTCGCTTAGCATAATACCCTCAAGGTCCATCCATGTTGTCACAAATGGCACGATTTTGTCTTTTTTTATGGCTGAGTGGTATTCCATTGAATATGTATACCACATCTTCTTTATCCATTCATCCATTGATGGGCACTTGGGTTGCTTCCACATCTTGGCTATTGTGAATAATGCTGCGATGAACATAGGAGTGCATATATCTTTTCGAATTAGCATTTTCATGGTCTTTCAATAAATACCCAGAAGTGGAATAGCTGGATCATATGGTAATTCTATTTTTAACTTTTTGAGAACTCTCCATACTGTTTTCCATAGTGGCTGCACCAGTTTGCATTACCACCAGCAGTGTATGAGTGCTCCCTTTTCTCCACATCCTCTCCAAAATTTATTATTTCTTGTCTTTTTAATAATAGTCATTCTGACAGGTGTGAGGTGGTCTCTCATTGTAGTTTTTTTTTTTTTTTTGAGGAAGATCAGCCCTGAGCTAACATCCATGTTAATCCTCCTCTTTTTGCTGAGGAAGACCGGCACTGAGCTAATATCTATTGCCAATCCTCCTACTTTTTTTCCCCCCTAAAGCCCCAGTAGATAGTTGTATGTCATAGTTGCACATCCTTCTAGTTGCCGTATGTGGGACGCGACCTCAGCATGGCCGGAGAAGCGGTGCGTCGGTGCGTGCCCAGGATCCGAACCCGGGCCGCCAGCAGCGGAGCGTGCGCACTTAACCGCTAAGCCACGGGGCCGGCCCTCTCATTGTAGTTTTGATTTGCACTCTCCCAATAATTAGGGATGTTGAACATCTTTTCATGTGCCTATTGGCTATCTGTATATCTTCTTTGGAAAAATGTCTGTTCATATCCTCTGCCCATTTTTAGATTGGATTGTCTGTTTGTTTGTTGTTGGCTTGTATGAGTTCTTTCTATATTTTGGAGATTAACCCCGTATCAGATATGTGATTTGCAAATATTTTCTCCCAGTTCATGGGTTGTCTTTTCATTTTGTTGATGGTTTCCTTTGCCGTGCAGAAGCTTTTTAGTTTAATGTAGTTCCATTTGTTTATTTTGTTGGTTTGTTTCCCTTGTCTGAGGAGACATCGTATTCAAAAGGATACTGCTAAGACGGTTGTCAAAAATCATGCTGCCTATGTTTTCTTTTAGGAGTTTTATGGTTTCAGGTCTTACATTCAAATGTTTAAACCATTTTTAGTTAATTTTTGTGTATGGTATAAGATAATGGTCTACTTTCATTCTTTTGCATGTGGCTGTCCAGTTTTACCAACACCATTTATTGAAGAGACTTTCATTTCTCCTCTGTATGTTCTTGGCTCCTTCGTCAAAAATTAGCTGTTTATAGACGTGTAGTTTTACTTCTGGGCTCTCAATTCTGTTTTACTGACCTGTGTGTCTGTTTCCCTGCCAGTACCATGCTGTTTTGATTACTATAGCTTTGTAGTATATTTTGAATTCAGGGAGTATGATGCTTCCAGCTTTGTTCTTTTTCCTCAGTATTGCTTTGTCTTTTCAGGGCCTTTTTCTCTCCCATATAAATTTTAGGATTCTTTGTTCTATTTCTGTGAAAAACGTCACTGGGATTCTCATTGGGATTGCATTACATCTGTAGATTGCTTTAGGTAATATAGACATTTTAGCTATGTTTATTCTTCCAATCCATGAGTACAGAATATCTTTACACTTCTTTATATCTTCTTCAGTTTCTTTCAATAATGGCTTATAGTTTTCAGCGTATAGGTCTTTAACCTCCTTGGTTACAGATAATGACACTGAAACACAGAGAAATTCAGAAGTATGCCCATGTTGCATGTCTCATATTTGAAAATCTCAGGTTTTTAATCCAGATTTTCCCAAAAGAAAAACAAGTTATTTTTAAATGTCCTCCCTTAATGTGTGAGTCTTGGGAGTGGGGGGAAGGGGAGCAGTGGGAGTCAGGGAAGGGATAGGAAGAGAACATTCCTGGAGCATCTGGTCCTAGAATAGGCTGAGTTAGTGATGACAATGATCACAGCAGCTGGTCTGTGCCACACACTCTAATGAGTTCATATCATGACTTCTTTAATGAAGTAAACAATGTCCTGATCTCCCTTACCCAGGTGAGGACTGAATGATTAAGTCTTTACTAGAGCTGGGAAGTGGACTGGGGGCATCACGGGGATGGAGTCCAGGGACCAGTGTCTCTGCTGACCTGGATGTGGCCATGTCCTGCGGGTCTCTGGCCCAGGACTGAGAAATATCTATAAAGTTCTGTCTGTGCAGATCTGAGAGCCCACCCAGTGTTGGGGAATGTGGAGGAAACTCCCAGGCTTCCATTCCTCCCAGGCTTCCACTGTGAGCAGATCAGAGCTGTGCGAGAGGTTTTTGTCTCACTTCCCCATGGGTCTGAAGCACTGTGAAAGACTTTGAGTTGCCATGATATGTACAACAGTAATAGTCAGCCTCATCCTCAGGCTGGAGCCCAGAGATGAGCAAAACCCCAGCATTGGTCGATGCATCATTGGATCCAGAGAATCGGCTGGGGACCCCAGAGCCGTGGTGCTTGTCTGAATCTGAGTGGTAGTACAGGAGATACCGAGGAGGGCTCCCTGGCTTCTGCTGGTACCAACCTATCCAGAAGTCACCAACATTGAAACCACTGCTCAGGGTGCAGGTGAATCTGGCTGATGCTCCCAGAGATGCAGAGAGGGAGGGCGGCTGCGTCAGCACAGGTGGGAGAGGGAACCTGCAAACACAGACACATGTGGGTGCTGGGGCAAGAACCAGAGTTGAGCTGCTTGAGATTCTGAGCCAGAGAGGCTGACACAGACTGTGGGCTACTCTGGGTCTATGAGGCCTGTCCCCACCTGTGCAGTGATACAGGAGCACGAGGAGGAGAGGAGCCCAGGCCATGGTTCACCCAGCCCCCTGGTCCCCACAGTGCGGCTGGGCTGCCCCAGGCCTCCTTTTCTTCTCCACCCTCTGCCAAAGGTGGGGCTGTCCATGCAAATGGGTTTCCATCCAGTGACTACCCAGCCCCTCCCTGAGCCCTGGTGCTGGAGCTCAACTCACACCACAGACTGAGGAGGATGGAGGTTGGCTTCACCCCTTGGGAGAGCCCAGGGAGGAAGCACCTGCTGAGACAACACAAAGGTCCCTGCTCAGGGGACTGTGCTGGGCTGGAGAGGACACAGCTACTGAGTCCCCATCAGTGAGCACAGGGCTCAGCCCCCAGGACCAGGCTCCTTTGAGTGAATAGTCCTCACTGAGCAGCTATGTAGGGACAACAAGCAGTCCCACAGCGCCCCCTTCTGGTTGCAGGGCACACACCTCCCCATGGCTCCAAGACCTGAGACCCTGGCTGGTTTCTGCAGCTCACCAGATCACCACCTCTGTTCACACATCCATTGTCTTGTTCCTCTGTAATGGGATTCCAATACAATGTGTGTGATTACTGCAGTATCTCACTCGCAGAAGAAGTCCCTGTCTATGGAAGATTCAAAATTGTACATAAATGACAATTTAAGGTGTTAGTGCCCTGAAAAAAGACGCTGCAAACATGTCACTTTATTTGTACATGATTTGGAATATGCATACATTTTTAGTGTTTCATCTCTTGTGTAATAAAGCAATGGATTCCAAATACTCTCACATATATTTATTTGTGTTTTATTCTCCCATTTTTTGGCTTTTTTATTTGTTGTGCTAATTGACAAATCAAAGAAGTGCAATGAATTCTAAGATTTGCAGCTGTGAAGTTCACATCATGCCATGTTGTTTTAGAATAAAATTCAAACAGGCAGACAAATTATTAGACCCTCATTTGTTGCCTTCCTTCCATTTCTCCCTGTTCACAACCATATCCTCTATGGACACAGAACTTGGAATTTCCATAATTCTTTCTTCAGGAGTTTTCCCACTAGGGTCCTTTGTAGGATTTTGGGTCAAAAAGTGGAATATTAGAATTTCATTGATATTATGCTGGATCATGAGCTCTATATTTAATACCTTGTTAACAAATGTCTATGTTATAAGTTTTTAAGTGAAATGTTATCTGACATTCACGCAGCTCACCCATACTCTGCAGGTTATTTGCTCATGGAGCTTGTCTCCTGTGCTCAGAATTTGATCCACTATCCACCTGCTCCCTGTGGTATCTTTACTCAGTACCTGGAAGCTCATTACATCCTTCTCCACTTTTTCTTCATTAACCCAGTTCATCTTACTGGTCATCTTCCCCAGGACTCAAGCATTTTCTCCCCTGTTCTATAGACTGTAAGATCAACATTATTACTTAACATCTCCTCTCAAATTGACTCAGAACCTCAGACTCAAAATGTCCAGAAAGCAGAAATCATTATCTTTGCTTCAGATCTGTACATCTTCCAGAGTTTCCAGTTCAGGAGAATTCAAATATTCATTCAACAAGCATGTGTTGAGTCTGTCCTCTGTGTCAGGCAGTTTTCTGGGCTCTGTAGATACAGTAAGGACAAAATGTGGGGGAGGGGAATTCTATTCACATGGCGCTTATATCCTGATGTGGGAAACACAGAGTGAACAGAGTCACAGAGGAATGTCATCACATGGCTGACACCACCCTGGACAGTTAACACCCTGAGAATCCGGAGCCCACTCTTGACTGCTGAGAGCCCCTCACCTCCCACAGGACATGGACACTAAACTCCTGGATGCTCTGTCACAGCCTCCCCTTGGTCTTCAGACCTCCCTGCCCCATTCCAGGTGCCTGGGTGTGGGGGCCCATCCCTGCTCACCTGGACGTGCAGAGTACTTCAATTTGGTCTTGTCCACCATTTTGTCCACTATATTTCATTCTTTACACTCTATTCAGAGGAATATTTCAAACATATATATCTGATAAAGGCAACTCCCTTCTTAAAAATCTCCCATAGATTCTCTTCCCATCAAGGTTGATTAAAAATATTTAGTGCCACATTCATGGGATCTCTCCATGTGCCATCATTTCTCCCCCTGCCTCCTGCCTCACCTCTCCTCCCTGTAATCTGTACAAAGGCATCAGCAGATCTTCTTTGCAAAGAGGGCACTTAACCCTGAACCACAGTGTCCCCTTCTCTTTGGGTCCTTCTTGTCCTCCTGTCCCCACCCCTGTCCCTCTTCCTTCAGGATCAAGCTCACACATCACCTGCTGGAGAAATTTTGACCACACTGAGAGGAGTGAATATTTGTTTTTATTACAATAATTTACAAAGAAATTTCCAAACCCTAAAACTTTAACCACCTGTGTGCATATTTCCTTAACTAAAATTTAAGGATAGAAATACTGAAGAAAGAACACAATTATGATTCTTATCATATACAACAGTGATTGTATATTATATTATTATTATTTCTTTAAACATTTAATCTTCCCAACTTGGTTTGAGAGAAGTTTCATCCTTGGATTGAGCCAGACATGCAGGAGTAATGGAGATACATGGAGATTCTGTAGCATTTGAATTCAAGAATGTCTTTAATGATGACGCTCTGTGACATGAGAGCCTGGAGGATGATTCCTTATGATCATTTAATTTGAAAGCCGTGACAGACTTGGTCTTCCCTGCATGTGGGGTAACTCTTGTAATCTACATGTCCCTTGCAGCACCCAAGGACACTAAACTCACAACAATTTCCGAGATACTACTTCCCTGAACACATCAGATTTGTTTTATCTCTCTTGGTACTGGAGTACTTCTAATATGAAACCATTAAGAATGAGTTAGTATTAAGACTTAGTTTTTAGTTTGCTTACTTTCTAATCACAGGATAAGAAACTTCACTTTCATTTCTAATTTACTGAGAAATTGTTTTAAACTCACAAAGAGGTATTGAGCTATTAATCAAACTTCTTTCCCCTTAAGATAATCATTGTTCTTCCTTTAATGGATCACAGGGTTATAGTACGGAAATAATGAACATTGACCATTTCCTCCTCCCAAATATAAAACGTCATTTGATTTGAATCATAGTCATAAATATCAAAGTTAATATCATAACAGTTCTAGAAAAATTATGAAATAATATCTTCATGTCCATGGAATAGAAAGTCTTCATAGAGAGGACACAAACATTACCAACAAATATAGAAAAACATAATAAGTAAGACTACATAAAAATTTTAAAAATTGCTTAACCAGCGAATGACATCAGCAAAATGATAGAATAGGGGGTCTTCCACTCATATCCCCTCCTCAGCAACCATAATTTGAAAGCCAGCCATGGTCAAAACTGCCTTTGTGAGAGCTTTGAGATCCAGGTAAGAGATTATGAAAACTTTGTGAAACCCAGGACTGAAGAGGTGCGTTTTGAGAAGGCAGGCACATTCCCAGGTGGCAGGCTTACTGACAGTTGATTTTGATAAAGACTCAGAAACAGCCCCAAATCCTGTGAATATGGCTAAAGCTTCTTTTTGCCTTCTTTCCACCTCCCACAGCGTCTGTGAAGGAACTCAGCAGGAGTCATTCCTCAGGTAACAGGCCTGCCAAAATCAAACCTGGCTAGGGATCATGAAGCAGCCTATGACACAACTCCATCCCCTCTTAGAGGTGATCTGAAAGCAAGCCTGTCCTTCCTGGCACTGGGTGAGAGACATGCCCATACGTACATCTAGAGGCAGGTCTGTGGACCTCAACCGGACTGTGTATCCTGAAACAGTCCTGTGACCTGGCTCCATCTCTGCCCAGGGTGGTCCAGGGACAATCACGCCAATCCAGGAAACTGTCAGGGTCATGCCCATCTGTGCCCCAAGAGACAGAACTGCAGACCTCTGTCCAACATGTGGACCCTGAAGCAGCCCTGTGATTTGGTCCAGCTCCTCTCAGATGTGGTCCAGGGCCAACCTTGCCCTCCTATGGACCCTCCCAGTGACCCAGAGGGAGACCTCTCAGGGACCCAGTGGTAGCCACACGTATCCATGCACCTGGTAACAGTTCCACTGTCTGCAGACCCAACTGTAGACTATGAGCAGACTGTTGTCCCAGTATAAACCATACTGACCAAGGTCCTAAAGGCGGACCTGTCTACTCAGGAACCAGACAGGATCCACACCTACCAGAGCCCCTGGTAACAGACCTGCCAACTGTGAACCCCACTGAAGACCCGGGTGCAGCCACATGACCTGGCTTCAACCCTGCTCATCTACAATCACAAAGCAATACCATCAGCCTGGGGACCCAGCAGAAGAAGGTCTTGAGCTGCCGATATGAGTCTATAAAGACTGAAAAAGTATTTGCTCCTTCGAATGCAGACACGAATGATGGCTGCACGAATAATGAAGAATAAGGCAAATATGAGAGCATCAAGGAAGCTAATAAAGACCCAGTAACAGATCCTAAAGCAATGGAGATCTATGAATTGCCTGACAATGTATTAAATAGACATCTTAAAGAAGCTCAATGAGATGCAAGAGAATTCAGATAGATAACTAAACAAAATCAGGAAAACAAATCATGAAAAAAAATGAGAAGTTTAATTAAAAATTAGACACCATAAAGTAGAAGGAAACAGAGAGAAGTCAAGATGGCAGCATAGGCAGACTCTAAACTCACCTCCTCCCATGGACACAGCCAATTTACAACTACTTTGAAAAATTACCTCTGAGAGAAAACTGAAAACTGGATGAGAGGAACCCCTGCAACAAACGACAGTCCTAATTGAGGTAGAAGAGGCAGAAACTCCCTTCTGGAGAGAAAAAAATGTCACCTTCACAAGCCCCAGTGCTTCACGGCTGCCCAGGAGCAACCCAAAGGTACGCAGCCTTCCCTGGAGGAGTGAGGGCCCTGAGCAGGGGAGCGCTCCAGCTATAGGCATTTTTTGGACCCAGCACAACCGAGATGAGTGGCATAATATCTGACTTTGCTTGCTACTAACAACATTGGGGAACACCTCAAGAAAAGCTGGTTCACAAAGAAATTAAAGCTGGCTCTTAAAAGGCCATGCACAAATTCACCCATTTCAGAAAGCAACCTAAAATTACCAGAAAGAAAGATGCACAGTCCTTTGCTGAAAATTGACTCACCTGATAGGCTCTGAATGCATCTTGAGGAGAGGTGAGGCCTCTCCAGGGACGAGAACATTGGCGGTGGCCATTGCTATGACATGATGTGGGCTTGCTGACACAGACGCTGGCAGGTGCCGTTAGATTTCTTCCACTGGCCTGCTAGCCCAGGGTCTGCCCCAACCACTAGAACACCGATTTAATCCAGCTCGGCCAGGGCAGGCACCCTACCCTAGGGACTAGCCCCACCCAACAACCACTCGGGCAACTTATGGGCCTCCTAAGTGAACTGTCCAGATTCTCTGCAGCCTGGTGAGCGGGTCCACCTCTGTGAGGCAGGGAATGCACAAGGAGCGAGTGGAGAGTGTGGGGTGCTGGTGGAGTGTGTGGGGCTCCCACCTTGGAGAGACTGAGTCCACTTCAGGAGGTCGGGGCTCATGCACAGGGCAGGACTCTGTTGACTGTGTGTGGCCCTGTGGGCAGTGGGCCTTGTCAACTGCAGAAGACTTGTGCTTCTCAAAAAGCCACATAATGGTTTGGCCCCACTTTCCAAAGCCTGAAACAATTGGGTGTTCCCATGCCTGAGGCCAGCCCCACCCAGCTGCAATCCTCAGAGAGATGACAAGAGGCTTAAAGACTGGAAGCTTATAGCAATTGTAAGCCCCTGAGCCTAACAACCTGCCATGCTGGGGACCTTCTCACTTAATAGAAAAACTGCAACAGGAGTGTGCTATGACACCTTGCAGCCAACTGTGTTGGGGCGCCCCTCACCCACAAAAGAGACTGAAGGGCCCCAACAACTACAAGCACCTGAGCATTACAACAGCTGGCCAGGGGGACAGCTCAGCCTCTGTGGGCACCTACGGGAAGAGCAACCCTGCCACAATGGAAGGACGCACGTAGCCCACATAGGGGTCACCCCTGGAACATTGAGAACTGAGGGAAGCACACTGCTGGGCCTCATAAGGCATCACTTATACAAGGTCACCTCTTCAAGAGCAGGGGATGTAGCTGACCTACCCAGTACATAGACACAAGCATAGGGAAAGAGGTAAATGATGAGGCAAAGGAATATGTTCCAAGTAAGGGAAAAGGACAAAACCCCAGAAAAGGAACTAAATGAAACAGAAAAGAGAAACCTACCTGACAGAGAGTTAAAACAGAGTGTTAAGGATGCTCACAGATCTTGGGAGAAGAATGAATGAACTCAGTGAGAATGTCAGCAAAGAAATGGAAGATATAAAAAAGAACCAATCAGAAATGAAGAAAACAATACTGGAAATGAACAATTCACTAGAGGAACTCAAAAGCAGAGTAGAGGATACAGAAGAACAGATCTGCAAGCTGGACAAAAGACTAGAAGAAATCACCAAAGCTGCACAGAAAAGAAAAAAGAATTAAAAAGATTGAGGACAGTCTGAGGGACCTCTGGGACAACATCAAGCACACTAACATCCATGTTATAGGTGTCCCAGAAGGAGAAGAGAGAGACAAAGAGGCAGAGAATATATTTGAAAAAATAATAGATGAAAACTTCCCTAACCTAAGGAAGGAAACAGACATCCAGGTACAGGAAGCACAGAGAGCACCAAACAAGGTAAACCCAAAGAGGCCCACACCAAGACACATCATAATCACAATGTCCAGAATTAAAGATGAAGAGACGATCCTAAAAGCCACAAGATAAAGACAAGTTACATACAAAGGAAACCCCATAAGGCTATCAGCTGACTTCTCAGCAGAAACCTTAGAGGCTAGAAGAGAGTGGCACGGCATATTTAAAGTGCTAGAGGGAAAAAACCTACAGCCAAGAATACTCTACCCAGCAAGGTTATTATTCAAAATGGAAGGAGAGAATCCACTAGAAAACTTTTAGAAGTAATAAATGAATATGGTAAAGTTGCAGGATGCAAAATCAACATACAAAAATCAGTTGCATTTCTATACACTAACAACTAGTAGAAAGAGAAATTAAGAATGCCATCCCATTTACAATTGCAACAAAAAGAATAAAGTACCTAGGAATAAACTTAACCAAAGAGGTGAAAGATCTGTACACCGAAAACTCTAAAACATTCTGAAAGAAATTGAAGAAGACACAAAGAAATGGAAAGATATTCCGTGCTCTTGGATTGGAAGAATTAACATAGTTAAGATGTCCATACTTCCTAAAGCAATCTATAGATTCAATGCAATCCCTATCAAAGTTCCAACAACATTTTTCACAGAAATAGAACAAAGAATCCTAAAATTTATATGGAACAACAAAAGACCCCGAATAGCTACAGGAATCCTGAGAAAAAAGAACAAAGCTTGAGGTATCACACTCCCTGATTTCAAAATATGCTACAAAGCTATAGTAACCAAAACAGCATGGCACTGGCACAAAAACAGACACATAGATCAATGGAATAGAATCGAAAGCCCAGAAATAAACCCACACATCTATGGACAGCTAATCTTCGACAAATGAGCCAAGAACATACAATGGAGAAAAGAAAGTCTCTTCAACAAATGGTGTTGGGAAAACTGGATAGCCGCATGCAAAAAAAATGAAAGTAGACCCTTACCTTACACCATACACAAAAATTAACTCCAAATGGATTAAAGATTTGAATGTAAGACCTGAAACTATGAAACATCTAGAAGAAAACATAGGCAGTACGCTCTTTGACATCGGTCTTAGCAACATATTTTCAAGCACCATATCTGACCAAGCAAGAGAAACAATAGAAAAAATAAACAAATGGGACTATATCAAACTAAAAATCTTCTGCACAGCAAAGGAAACCATCAACAAAACAAAAAGACAACCTAACAATTGGGAGAAGATATTTGCAAACCATACATCTGATAAGGGCTGAATCTCCAAAATATATAAAGAACACATGCATCTCAACAACAAAAAAACTAACAACCCAATTAAAAAATGGACAAAAGACCTGAACAGACATTTCTCCAAAGAAGATATACAGATGGCCAACAGGCACATGAAAAGATGTTAAAAATCATAACTATCAGGGAAATGCAAATCAAAACTACAATGAGATATCACCTCATGCCCGTCAGAATGACTATAATTACCAAGACAAAAAATAACAAGGAAATAGCAAGTGTTGGAGAGGATGTGGAGAGAAGGGAACTCTCATACACTGCTGGTGGGAGTGCAAAGTGGTGCAGCCACTATGGAAAACAGTATGCAGATTCCTCAAAAAATTAAGGATAGAACTACCTCCCCAGCTATTCCACTGCTGGGTATTTATCCAAAGAACTTGAAAACACCAATGCATAATGATACATGCACCCTTGTGTTCATTGCAGCGTTATTCACAATAGTCAAGACTTGGAAGCAACCTAAGTGCCCATCAAGGGACGAATGGATAAAGAAGATGTGGTATACATACACAATGGAATACTACTCAACCATAAGAGATGATGAAATCCAGCCATTTGTGACAACATGGATGGACATTGAGGGTATTATGCAAAGTAAAACAAGTCAGAGGGAGAAGGTCAAATACCATAGGATCTCACTCGTTAAGTAATAGATAATAACAACAACAAACAAACACGTAGAGACAGAGATTGGGTTGGTGGTTACCAGAGGGGATGAGGGGATGGTGGAGGGCAAAAAGGATAATTCGGCACATGTGTATGGTGATGGGTTGTAATTAGCATTTGGGTGGTGAACATGATGTAATCTATGCAGAAATAGAAGTATAATGATGTACACTTGAAATTTTTACAATGTTATACACCAACGTTACTGCAATAAACAGTAAAGAAAAAGAAAATAGAGGAAGTCGTGAACAGACAATTCCAACTATCATTAAAGCAGAAGACAGGAAAGAACAACCCTCCCCGGTGGGGACAGGATGCGAGGCAGACACAGGATGATGAAGCTCTGGGGAGTTTTGGTCTCACTTCCCCATGGGTCTGAATCACTGTGTCCTTTTTGCTGTCATAACCAGACTGACAGCAGTAGTTGGCCTCATCCTCAGGCTGTAGCCCAGAGATTGTCAGGTAGGTGGTGCTGGAGGAGTTGTCAATGGAGCCAGAGAACCAATCGGGGACCCCGGAGGGAATTTGGTCACCCTTGTAGATTACAGTGGTGGGAGCACTGCCTGGGCGCTGCTGGTACCAGTAGCTATGGTAGTCATCAATGTTGCCACTGCTGTGGGTGCAGGAGATGGTGACCTTCTGCCCTGGAGACCCCCAACACAGAGTAGGGCTGAGTCAGCACAACCTCGGTCTAAGACCCTGCAAGGAGGCAGTGACACAGAGATCAGTGATGACAGAAATGACCCAGTCGTCAGGGAGGAAGGAGAGGTCTTCATCCCAGGTGACATTCAGGTGCCCTCCCAGAATTCCCTGCAGGCAGCCACCTGTGCAGTGAGTGAAGAGGATGAGGAGGAGCGGAGCCCAGGTCATGGTGGAGATACCCCCAGGCTCTGCCTCCTGAGCCCCACAGCCAGGCCTGAACCCACCAAATCTTTTTATCTGTCACCCTGATCCTGAGGGCAGGAGGTTGCCATGCAGATCTTCCCCTTTTTGGAGGCCATGCACACTCCTCCTTAGACTTAGGCCTGGACTCCAGCTGAGTAAAAAAGAGACCACAGGAGGCAAGAAGAGTTCCCCTGGGAGGACAGAGGATCATCTGTGGGACATGGGGAGTGCTCACAGCTGAGCAGCTAGCTGAAGAGCCTGAGCAAGTGTTCAGAACACAGCGCCCTCTGGTGGATGCAGACAAGGTGACCATGAGCATGTGCTGGTGCTCAGGGTTCTGCCCTTCCCGAGCCACACCTCTCACAATTTCAGCCCCATATCCAAAGTTCTCTGCACAGCATCCTATGCTCACTATGCATGTGAAACTTCATATCTATCCAGATTCACCAAGACCTCTTGAGTTACTTTGTTTTATTGGAGGTCATCAATATCACAGGAAAAATGGGCTCTTTGGGAAGGAAATGGAGGTGAGGGCTCTGCCTTCTCCAGGTGGGTCCACATGGGCCGAGTCTGTGAGCTCTTCACTGAGAGGAGGCGCAGTTGTTCAGGTAGGAAGAGGAGGGAACTCTTTGATCAGGACAAGATT